TTGGGGAGTTTTGAAGGCTGCGCCTGGGGGCGGCAGTTAATTGAAATTTTTGTGTACAAGAAGGACTCACATTTATCTCCATTGCTGCTTTGTCTATGCATGTGGTGTGCGTGAAGCCCCGAGTGATGGGAGCTGGTGGTGCGCATGAGTGATGTCGAAGGTCCATGGATGATTAGATGTCCTGTGAAAGTTTGTTGATTGCATGCATGTATGTGTGTATGTACTTGTCCGGGCGGGGATGGGGAAACTGAACTGGGGAACCGTCTGCTTAGGAGTACGAGTGTGTTGATCCGGTTGTTCCCCTCCCCTCAGTGGTCTTTCCTGCGCTCGTGCACGGTCTCGACGTAACTCACTCTCTCTCTCTCCCGATTGCTTTCCTTTTTTGAATTGATAGTCATCGTTTTTGGAGCTTCTCGCCCCGGTACCGGTGACGTCAACCGCTTGCGTCCGCGCGGACGGTCGACGCCCCTGCAAGGGGAGAGAGCTCAGACTTCGTCGTCTTCCCTGGACGCACCCACCTTAAAGAGAGAAGAGTTGCTACGATTGTTGTATGGATTCGGTGTTGGTTCGGATGACCGGGAACGCGGGACCTTGCCCGTGTTCATCACGTACCTCCGACCGTCTCATCTCGCTACCGACCTTCCCCATCGTCAATGACGACAGCGTCTACTGCGATGCGGACGTACGGTGCGCGTTGAGGCGGACGGAGGAAGCGTGTTGGCAAGACCCTCCTCGGGCTTGTGAGATAAGGGGGAACGGGTTTGTTTTTATTGATCGTTTTGATTCCCCGGTTCTAATATTGCCTTATACGGGTTTGACGGTGTTGCCCTGGTCGGCCGCTCACGCCTCGTGGTGGCCGCAGTTTAATTGTCGTTGGTGTCGCCAGGGGGACTCGTGTTCTTGGCGACGGCTGGTCTTGGGCTACGAGGGAGCAACACGTTTCCCCGAGCTTTCTCGTAGTACGGGGGCGCTGCCCGCCCAATTTCGAATTAAGATGTCGGCGAGTCCTCCCGCCGCTTTACCCTCCTGGAAACTTTCGCGCGAACTCGGCGAGTCAGACGCCGAGGCTTGAAGGCCTCGAACCAACCACCTCCGCAGCAAAGACCCGAGGGTTCGGCCACTTTGTGAGGCCGACGATGAGGCCTGAAGGCTTCGAACCCACCACCTATCCCCCAAACCCCTTACGGCCGAAGTTTTGTCTTCCGCCGCCATGGCCCTCTCCCCTTGATGCCTTTTTCCGTCCTGATGCATGATGGCAGTTCATTTTCATGAAAACCTTTTTTATTTTATCGTTTCGAAGTGATCCGACTCCCACGGGACTCCGCGACAACAGTTCGACTCCGGGGAAAACCTTTGGCACGAAACAAGGGCCTCCCATTCCGTCCGGGAGACTCAACCCTTACGGCCAAAAATCCTCGGCCACGCCCCTCCTAGAACTTTGATCGGCGATCCCGTACGGGAAGCCGTGAGGGGGCGTGAGGTGCGTATCACACGTGCGCGCGTGAGGGTTGTCCGTTCGGTGGTCATCTACACGTGGTGCGCTTCATGGCAGACATCTTTCGGCGGCTACCGCTCCTGTTACTAGCAACTCTTCTGCTGCTTCTTCTCGTCTTTTCGCGCGCCTCCGTCGTGCCGCGGCCTCCTGGGCGTAGACAGAGACGACAAGTGGATAGGAAGACGACGATGGACAGACGGGACAGCTCCGTCGGACAGCAAAGACGTGTGATGGATTTCTCCATTCCTGATCGGCCCCTGTCCGGCCATCGACCCGCCGCATATGACCCGTCCTTGTACAGTCATCTTCCACCGCACGAGCAGCCATTGCCGCCGGATCCAAAGGACACCTAGGTTGAGGATCTGTCGCACACACTTCCTCTGGGGAGTGGATCTACGCAGGCATGGACGAGCAGGCAGTGCCAGCAGAGGGAAGCAGGGACCACGCGCGAGTCATTCACCACATTGCTGGAGGAAGGTGTTGACAATGCCGCCACGGAGCTTGTGGACTTGGATTTCGGATTGTGCAGCGGGAGTGGTGTAAGTGGTCCGATCCATGGCGGGGGGTTGGTGGGAGCGCCGACGTTCGGAGGAGGATCGTCCCGTGTCGGTGGGCCGACGAATGGGTGCCGTCCACTGGTCTCGAGTTCCATGGGCGCCGGGCCTCTTGGCGAGTCGTCAAGGGCAATGACACCCACCCGCCCCTCGGTGTCTTCGCCTGCAATGCGGCAGAGGGCGACCGCAAGTGCTGCAATCAATGATGGGACTCCACCGGAAGACATCGGGAGGCAGGTGTGGGAGAACTGCCGCCAACAGATGTGGCGTGCTGCCGCGGAGAACATAACCACCGGTGTGTCCAGGCTGCGTGTGGGGAGCAACGTGGATGCGGACGACAGCCGTCGGGCGAGTGGGGACGAGTCTCCGGATTCCCGTTACGAAGACGACGCGGAAGACGGTGAGGGGCTGGAGATCCGACCCGTGGCTGCGCGTGGTGGGCCGAGGGGAGGACGCGGACGTCAGCAGAGGGGCGAGTCGCGTGGTGGTCGAGGATCGAAGGCTCCTTTGGGCGACAAGGGTGGCAAGCACCCAGCTTGGAGTGTCGAGGAGATGCTGAAGCTCGCTCAAGCGAAGCGGGATCAGCAAGCTCATTTCGAGGGAATGCCGCACAACTACGACCGCATGCGCAACAGGGAGTGGAAGCTGCTGGACCTACAAAAGCGGCTTGCGGAGGTCGGAGTGAACAGGGCAACGGACCACATCGGGAAGAAGTGGGATAACGTCTTCCAGCAGTACAAGAAGGTGCAGCGTTACCAGAACATGTTCGGTGGGAAGAACTTCTTCACATTAACTCCCTGCAACGAGAGCGGACGAGGGCTTCAACTTCTCAATGGATGAGCGAGTCTTCAATGAGATCGACAACATGTCGAAAAATAACAAGACCATCTACCCGGACAACGTGGCAGACACGAGCCCCCGCGGAGGAGTGCCGCCAGCAATGGATGGTCACCGCCAGGCGGCTGTTGGTGGAGAGTCCTCTGCTGGTGGAGAGGGGGGTGATGGCGTCGACGAAGATGTGGGTTCAGCCCCGACGTCGCCTTTGCGAAGACGCACTCGAAACGGACGGCGGGACCCTCTTTCCACACGGACGTCAACGGCGCTCTTAGGACGACACCTCCTCGTGCACGAACGACGGGCGATCTCAGGTATGGCAAGCCACCGGTTCGTCGTCGTCTGCGGGAGGAGGAAACTGGAACCCGCAGCACTTCACGCGCTCCAACGTCGTCACCTTTCGCGCCGCGCCGGCTGACGCTCGGATGAACGAGTCGCCAACAGCGATGGGCGCCGCCAATCGCCCGCGCAGACGTTTCCCACTGTGGTACCTCCAGGGGTGATCTCCCCACGCCGCGCGCCGTGGGAATGAGCGAAGGGTTTGAAATTCGAATTTCAAAAACGAACCTTCGCCCCTCTTTTCGCAGCTCGGCATTCATAGGCTCCTTGCGCCGCCAGTGGACCACGCCTGAGGATGGACGGAAATCCCACCGCGAAGACGGACATCCTACCCCGCGGCCTCGTATATGCGTATGAAATTGGCCGCGGGAAACCTCCAAGAATTTTCCTTGGGACCCTTTCGTTTAGGACGCGGTGTAACGATGCCGCCGAGTTCCTTGAAATTTTCCAAGGACTTCGTCCTAATTCCTGAGGATTTTTCAAGGAGGGGCTAACGAGGCCCATAGGGGAAAAAAAGCCTTCAGCAGCATTTGATTCTCCATTTTTTCATTTGTTTTTTGAGTTTTTAAGTCGCAAAAACCGTGTCACACCGTTGCGTTGAGCTGGTTCAACGGTGCATGTGGGGGCCAAGTCCCACCCACTTACCCGAATGATCGATTTCTGACCGCAGATTCGGAAGAGCAACGACCCGAAATCAAGGATCAGCGTAAGCGGGACTTGGCCCCCGATGAATGAAAATTGCCTGGCTGCCCTTTGATATTAAAAAAAAAAAAAAAAAAAAAAGCCTGTTTTTTTTTTTTTTTATAATAATAAAAAAGTCCAGGTTATTTGTAGTGGTCGGAAGCCAGACCCTGACAGTCACCTTCCCTAGTAGTCAGCCATTACCTTCTTACCCCGAATACAACGTCCGGTCATTATAGCTGTATTTGAGCCATCTTTCAATCCAGAGACAGCTATAATGACCGTACGTTTGTATTCAGGGGAAAGAAGGTAGGTTATCCAGATGGCCTACAGAGGGCCCTGTTCCTTATGAACCCTCCCGCCACCCACTCTCATCATTTCTCTCTGGGGCACCCCTACTCCCACAATCCTACCTC